CCACACACCCAATGACCCTGATTAAGACAATGAAATATATATCTATTTTTTTTTGTTTATAATTCAATTTTAAATTAAAATGTAAAGTATTTCAAAATATATCAATATACATTTTTTAGATGTGCAAGATAAATATTTAATCTTTAATGACTAGTAAAATGTCATTCTATTTTTGTCCAATCTGTGACATATTTCCGCCCTAGGGTGCAAAAATCTTTGCCCATAGACTCTCGTTAAATCTTTGCCCATAGACTCCTGCCTCCCCCTGCTGTACAACCCTGGGCCAAATATCACCACTGATTAAAAGCTGATGCCATTTAGGGGCCGCTGCCCCCTTTGGCAGTTTATACCATCTAAACCTGCAAAGTATGGTATAAAGATCTAGGCTGCCTATGATGCCACTTCCTCGCTTGGAACAAGTCTACATAGGGAAGCCTGATGGGGGGCCCCCCCAAAAAAAACAAGGAATGAGAGTTGTCCTCGACATGTCTCAGGGACTCAGTGACCACAACATCACATGCGATAATTTTTTTACCTTGTGCAAACTGGGACAGGAACTCCCAAAGAGGAAGCTGATCATGGTGGGAACAATAAGGAAAAACAGGTCAGAGCTCTCACCTCAACTGCTGACTTCAAAGAACAGGCCTGTAAAGTCTTCCAAGTTTGCATACACGGCTGACACATCCCTGCTATCCTATGTGTCAAAGAAAGGCAAGAAGTCATGCAGTGTACTCATGACTACACTGCATGGGGATGGATGAATCTGTGACCAGGAACATCACAAACCACTGGTGATAGTCTCTGACATGTTGGACATCTCAGCGTAGAATGCCTTTGTCATTTGGATGGCACTGAACCCAGAGTGGAAACAAGTGAAGCTCCAGAAAAGAGAGATCTTTCTTTAAGATCTGGAAAAGGCATTGGTGAGACCACAAATCGAGAGAAGAAAACATATCCCCAGAACCCCAGCTTCCGCAGCCATGGCGAGGAGGATTCAGGAGGAGAATGCTGGTGCCCTGTCCACCGAACCACAATCTACAGAACCACAATCTGCAGAGCCTGAAGTAAGTGTGCGATGTTTCTGCAGTACATTTCTGGCACTCATGTCTTGTGAGCCAGAGAGAGAGAGACAGAGAGAGAGAGGTGTTTGTAAAATTCCTGATCTTTTCATTATTCTATGTTGTGAACACCAGCAACAAGAAGAAGCAGTGGGAAGTGTGAGGACCCAATATTTACAGGAAAATACAATATATATGCCTCAAGTGCAAAAAGTATATCTGCAACACACACACAGTAAAGCTCTGCCCCTCATGTGTTGTATAGGCAAGTGGCTAAAGGCCATGTGTTCAATGGGGCTGATGTGTTGTCTTGACTGATATGTTTACTCTGTGTTCATGAGGAATGGGTTTAATTTCAGTTTCAAAGAAATATAAGTCAGTAGTTTTGAAAAATCTTGCTTCACTTGTAAATTTGTTTCCACTCATATCTTCATTTTGATTGATTTTCTTTATTATGTTTCAAATAAGTTATACATGTCACCTAACAAAGCTAAAGGGCAAATTTTAACCATATGTATTGTTTATACTGCTTGTAATTGGGATAAGATAAACATCTGTTTAGTAGTTTAACATAAAAGTGTTTGATTTTGAAGCGTTAAAAGCAACAAAATGCAACGGTCCATCAGACTAACAAACGCTGGCTGAGTAACAACAATATGAACATTACACAAGGATTAATTCTTGGGCTTCCATATCTGGGAGCCACAAACATAACACATATTTCCTTTTTCCCACCTATATTTTTCACTTATTTGATCCTGTTCCCTATCCATTCTGTTTCACTAGGGGGAGGATTAAGCTGGTATCTGAACTCTCAAGCTATAATTGCTAACACACATTAGCAAACACACTCCATTTCTTGTAAATATGATATGCAGATTGACCCTAAACTTGCTACTTACTCTTTGGGCTTAGAATTGTTTAAGGATGCTGTGTTCAACTTCTGAAATGCTGTAGCTTAATGCGCCAAATATGTGTATGAGTCAAAAAGTTAAACCCTGAATGTCTTGCACACAAAAAGATACAGTGTTTGGACAACCCTCAGAAGTGATAAAGGGTGATAGTTAAGCTGTTAAAGTTTTTTCAAATTTCAAATTTGTATGTAACTGTGGTTGCGCTTATGAAACTCAGTCAAGTATCCTCTGGATACTTGAGTGACAACTAGGTGGAGACAAGACTTTCTGAAGGATTTTATATGTTGCAGGTGTAAATACATGCTCGGACATAAGATTGAACCAGATTATCTTTACACAGATTGACCGCTAGAGGGAGACAGAGGCTTTTTCCAAACATCCTCCCCAACCCATGTATAGAGCACTATATAGGGTTTATGCCATTTTAAAAGAGTGAACACTACTTTGAAAAGTAGTGTTCATCCATGATTACTAGATGAGCAGATTGATCCCAGAATGCTTTGCAAGAGGCCTTCTTCTAAAGCATCATGGGATTTGTTTTCATTAAAAAATGTAATTATGGTACTAAAATTACTTATTTCTACCCTAGAAGGGGAACACCATTTTTCTTTTTTTTACATTGGCCCCTTACGTTATTACATCATGTTCTACTCACCCATATTAGTTTTGTGTCATTTGTTCTGAAGATATTCCGTCATATCCAAGTAATGTCTTCCTATGGGCAACGACTTGAAGGCACAAACTAAACTGTTCATAATTTATTCTTTATGGTATGCCAGCATTAATAACATGTAGGTGAATCACTGTTCCCCACACATCCGTGGTTATATTTTTTATAGTTATATTTTTTTAAAACACAGAGGCGTGTGTATGATGTCATCTGTGCGCGCCGGCTACCATTCATTCTTTCTGTCTACTGAACTGCTGCTAGTTTTACTCACATGCCTGGAAGATGTCTAGTGCTGCTACCACAGATGATCTCGCTCTCAAAATGGAGTTGAACAATTCAGATTAGCTAGCCGAAATGAATAGAAGGGGTAGAGCATAGCCGCCTGTGGCCTGGGCTGCCTGTTATGACATCAGTCCCGCACGGGGTACATTATGAATGCTGGCCTACCATAAAGAATAAATTACGAACAGTTTAATTTGTGTCTTCAACTCATTGCACATAGGAAGACATTACTTGGATTACAAAACCGAATATCTTCGGAACGGCTCCAAATGACACTAAACTAATATGAGTGAGTAGAACATGATGTAATAACGTAAAATCAAGGGCCCGATGTAAAAAAAAAAAACGGTGTTCCCCTTTAACTCACAAAAGAATGCAAGTACATTCTTTTATTGCTGTTTTATTTCCTAAAACTGAGCAATGTTTTTCTACAAAATGGTACAGTCCAGGGGGTGGAATCAACTAAAGAACATATGTTTTGTGTTCTTTATCTTAGCACAAAGGTCAAAACAAGACAACTCCAAGTGTTTTAGCTGTTTTCCTAGTATTTACTCTATCGTTTTTCTTTTAAAATAAATAGAAATTACTGCCAGACAGTGGATCTTAACATAGAAAGTGAGAAAGTACGAAATATGAGAAGAAATCATGCTTTTGCTCTACTTATTGTACAGAAAAGTCAGCTGTTTGGTACATAACAAGCCGAAGTTGTTTCCATTAGTGATTTTCAGCTATGTAGCACCACCTACCGTCTCTTACAGACAGAACAACAATGTGTATCAACATATTAGAGCAGAGGCTTTGTTTTCTAGTGTGTGCAGGAGTGATAAGAATGAGAAAAATGGTAGAACTCGTTTCAGGAAAAGAAGCTCTCGGGTTCAATGAGTTTTTATTGGCCCTTAGAAGATTGAGAAAATTGTCTGTTATCCAGATGAAAAAACAAAAAACAAAGAAAGACAATTGGGCTTCAGTTTTTGTCGTTGATTTCACCTTTAAAAAAAAACTCAGTTCAGCATTCAACCGGATTCCCAGTTCGTTTTAGACCTATTCACACCTTCTTGCATTTGATAAATAATTTCTCAGTGAACCATGCCCATAATGCACTAGAGATGCCATGACATTGGGGGAGGCCACCATGCATGTGAAATTAAATTTTCAAAATAGTTCATCCTAGAAAAAGCTTAAAAGCTACAACCCTTTTAATTAGCTTTGAACCGTGAAAGCATTTTAGATAAAAAGCTATAAAAAAAAAAAAAAAAACGTTTTAAGTACAAACACCCTTATCTTTCTTTAGTGGTGTAAATTTCCAATTTGTGCCCATAGCAGGGTAGAATTGTGGTATCTGAAAGCACCTTGAATGTACAAGTGCTGTGTTTTCTTAAACAAACAGTCCTATTCTCGTACAGAGTTCGGCTTGTCAATCCTCCCTCACAGCTGCTCGACATCCTCCTGACTAGACAATGATCACAAAGGCATTTATTATCTCCTCTGGATTTAAGATCTTTGGTTTTAATTGTTTACTGCTAGTTACTTCCACAATATCTAGTCCAGTCCTTGTCCTGGAACACCTAGTTGTAGTTTTTTTTTTTTTTGTTATATTCTCTGCTTGTGATAAATTGTATCACATTTTTCCCCATATTATTTTCTATTTTGGATTTACCTCAGTCCTCACAAAAAATAACCCCTGTTATTCTGTTTTAATTTTCTCAACCAGCATGTTAGATCCAGCTATTGTGCTGCACCATTTTAGGTAGATTTTTTAACCCGCATCTGAGGTTCTGTTTTAAATGGTAGAACCAGGCCTGTAATGTTATCATGTTTAGTGACATCAAGACCAGTTAAAGTAAATAAATAGAGGATCATTTTCTTATGCTCAGTGCCATCTAGGCCAAAATAAATAGATTTGTCCCTTTTGTGATGTACTGTGGATGACGTCAGCGCATATATACGTTAATGTACGATAATCCCCAGGACCAGTGTTGTAAGGGTCGCCCCTATGCAAGCTAACATGGAGTAAAGACACCGAAAACTACACCCCCCGTGTGTGTCTGTTTTAATTCATTTACACCGAGTCAAAGTGTAACAGCTGTGTCTCATTTTCAGAATTCTGTTAGTGTCCAAAGATTTTCAATAGCATCACTGGTATCAATCATTCCAGATCCCTGATGTCTGCTTGTGGGAGGACATAACAAGGTGGACACAAATAAACAGCCATAATAGTCCTGTGAATCATTATTTTAATATTACAGATGTTTAAAATGGGCGCATGATCATTTTATCAGCTTTAACCTCTTTTAGACTACCTTTCATTTAATCTTTTTGCTCATCAATAGCTGATAATAGATATTCCACACATAGTGTACCATATCTGAAGCCCTTTGCTGCCACCGCATGGTCTGAAATATGCCAAATATTTTTAAATTTAGAATTCAATTAGCAATCAGCACCAAATTTAGTATTTGCAAAACAGCAGAAATATTGATAGTTTATTATGTGATATAGTTCTAAATAAATAATAATAAATTCTTCAAATATGATTGAATTTTGGTTATTGTTGTGCTACTTTAACCAATGGTGAGCATTTTTGTAAATGCCTCAGTCTAATTTCAAATTGTCTTTAAATGTAATTTTTTTTGTTAGTGGAAACCTGTCCGGGTTGTGTCCTGCCTCTCACAGTCTGACTTGGATGAATGGATGTTTATATGTAATCTTAAATTAAAAATATTGAGCAATTACATTTAGATTTTTGTGTGCCCGTTATTTAAGCCTGGCAGTTGTTGTAAAACAGCTCTCCAACTGGTTCTGTGGAAAACTGCTGCAGGAAAGCCCCCAGGTCATCCAGGGAACGTTTCACAACATAGTTCTCCTCGGTGTTCCTTGCTGTACCAGCGCCGCTCAGGATGGGCCTGTCATTGTTGTCCACGCAGCAGTAGGCGTTCCACACGTAGTCTGGGATGTTGACACGCTTCACATTGTTTTTGATGATCCAGTTGTTTGCAGAGGGGATGGCGCCAACCAACACGTAAGCTTTTGAGCATTTTTCAAGGAAAAGAGTGGTGAGGTCTGACTCGTGGATCCTCCAAGCATCTTGATTCGTTTTGGGGTTCTGGGGGACCACATTGGTCAAGGTGAAGGTAGCATTACGGCTCGGCACTGGAAGATGGAGATTGTTATGAAATTAAAAAGTAATTAAGAAAAAATCTTACATTCACAACAACAACAAAAAAAAAAAAAATCAAGGTAAATTTAACAGGCTGGTTCAGCTTATCAGTTTATCAATTATCAGTTATAAAGCATGCTTACATTACCCCAGAGACTAAAAACTTTTAATAGAATATATATTCCAAAATGATCAGAAGCCTTTCACCCCAAATACAGTCTCACCTATTCAAGGTGTAATCAAGTTTAGGTTTTAATTTAAATTAAGTCTACAAAATTATCCTTTTTTTTAATCAAATTTCTACCAGTTATACACTATAACACTTTATTGTTTAAGATTCAAAAGTCAAACTTGCATTGATGGACATTACGTCTAACTTGTGAAGATTTGACAATTATAATTTATTTTTTGAATGTAGTTTTTTTTTCTTTTATTAAGTGTAGTTACAGTTTTGTTTTAACCTCTGTTTGAGATCCAGTTTTTTAAATCTAATTTAATGGGTATGCACCTGTATGCGGCAAAGGAAGAAGTGATATTGTGTCTGTACAGTAGGTACAAGCACTCGCACCTCTAAAGCCATAGCATCACCTGTTGTGCCTCAATGATGGCGCACCAGCCTATCCTACCTGGATGGTGTCCGTTAGGGTTCAGGTGACCTCGGTCAAAGCCAGAGTTTGTGTAGTCCTCATTGAGGGCTTGTTTCTCTCCCTGGTAGACCCCTGGGAAATCCTTCCCCAGCCAATATCCGTCCTTCATCTCAGCTTGCCAGGACATATCTACCAGCTAAAGCACATCAACACATGTAGAAATAGAGAAAAAAAGAGTGTAAAATAAATCAAGAAGTAAATAAAAAAAAATTATCCTTCAAGACCACCACACACTCATAAGCAAATCTTTTGTTGGACAGAAATAGAAAACAAGACATACAAATGCGGTTGAAGTAAACATTTTATCATAATATTAATGACTAATGACTAATAAAGTGCAAATGTTGTAAGAAGTAAGGGTCCATTAAATAAGCTAAAGAAGATGGGATTCATTAGAGGTAACTTTTTACGGACCATTTGGCCTAAAAAACTCTACATCCCAACATGTTTGTTCTCGATTAAATTAAAACAAGAAGCGGCTGAATTTGATCAACATCCAGACATTTTTGTGGAAGTTTCCCCACATCCCTTTATATTCTGATCATATCAAACAGGTAGTTTAGACGGTGTGATGTGGAGTGTCACCTGAGGCTCAACAAACCACCTCTTCTCCCTGCCGCCTCCGTTGCTGGGCTCAAACTGGTAGGCAGAGTAGACAGCAATGCGATGGTTGGTGTCATACAGTGTGGCAAAGTGGAACCTTAAAGCACAAAGATCATAAAACTATCGTTAGAAAAACTGTGCAGCAGCAGAGGAGAAACCAGCACGCTGCACAACTAGAGCGAGACAATGGAGACAACCCTAACCTTAAAGGGGAATGGCGTTTTTTTTTTCCATTGGCCCCTTGATTTTACGTTATTACATCATGTTCTACTCACCCATATGAGTTTTTTGTCATTTGGAGCCGTTCTGAAGATATTCCGTTAGGTTACATCCAAGTAACGTCTTCCTATGGGCAACTATTTGAAGGCACAAACTAAACTGTTCAGTTTAACATTTATGGTACGCCAGCATTCATAACGTGTAGGCGAATCACTGTCCCCCAGACATCCGCGGTTATATTTTTTATATTTATATTTTTTAAAAGCAAGGCGGCACGTGTATGACGTCATCTGGTGTTGTGACAGGCAGCCCGGGCCACAGGCGGCTACGCTCTACCCCTTCTATTCATTCGGCTAGCTAATCTGAATCGTTCAATTCCATTTCGAGAGCGAGACCATCTGTGGTAGCAGCACTAGACATCTTCTAAGCATGTGAGTAAAACTAGCATTAGTTCAGCGGACAGGATGAATGAATGGTAGCTGGCGCGCGGATGACGTCAAACACATGCCGCTTTACGGACATCCATAGAAAGACATTACTTGGATATAACCTAACCGAATA